TTCGCTCGAAAAGGGCTTAACAAGTTTTGTGCACAAAAGTTGATAGGCCCGTTCAAATGTTACGCGAGTATTATTCATGTGTTCATTTTTAGTAAACAGGGCCCCGCTGTTGTGTCACTTTTTGTCGATTGAGTGGACTCAAATCCATCCATGCACCCGTCTACAGCATCTGCAATGTTGAAATGATCTGCGGTACGGAAGAATGGTGAAGAAACTGACAGCTAACGCCTTTAAAGCAACGCTGCAACCGCATCAAATTTTTGGCATCAGAGTATCTGCGCATTTAATTAGAGTTGGTGTGGTAGCTGCTGTAGAACAAAGCCCGCATAAACGCAAACCATCACTTGACCTTACCGATAATGGTTATAAATTGTTTATAATCCCTCCTAAACTTTAACTGAAATGGTTTTGGAACCTTACATGAACGTTTGTGTGATAAAGTTTTAACCTTATGTATTATGGTTTTTAGGAAGCGGACCTTACAAATAATGGGTCGTTAAGAACCATTACCATTTCAAATTCTTGTTTTCTCCATACATTTTCGGAAAGAGAACTATATTAGAACGTTTTTACTTATGGTTTGAGAACATTAATGATTATGGTTATGGTAGTCAGTAAGGTCCATTAATTGTTTTGTATTATCGCTCAACTTTACGTGGAATATATCGCGAACTGATAATTATTAATTTAAAGGCAACCAATTCGCGATATATTCCACATAAAGTTGATCGATGTTACAAAACCATTCATGGGCCTTACTGACTACCATAACCATAACCATTAATGTTCTCAAACCGTAAGTAAAAACGTTCTTATATAGTTCTCTTTCCGAAAATGTATGGAGAAAACAAGAATTTGAAATGGTAATGGTTCTTAACAACCCATTATTTGTAAGGTCCGCTTCCTAAAAACCATAATACATAAGGTTAAAACTTTATCACACAAACGTTCATGTAAGGTTCCAAAACCATTTCAGTTAAAGTTAAGGAGGGATTATAAACAATTTATAACCATTACCGGTAAGGTCAATTTATGGTTTGCGTTTATGCGGGAGGCCAGTCAGCTGGGTTGCCATCGAAGATGGGGAGCTCCTGTGGGACTACAATTCGGAACCAGGGGTTGAAACAGTTGACGTTTTCTACTACACTCGCTTCGTTGTCGTGCGCGACAGTCTGTTTGTATTCGAACACTCATGCTCTACCGTCGTCTCTCTCACACAACAGGAGCGGTAGAATAACATTCGAGCTAAAAGAAAATTATCAAAATAGCTATCATATGACATGTGTGATTTCGTTGTAATTCCTCAATTTGGTGTAAATCAAACCATTTCTGATCAGAAATATTATTACTAGGACATCATTGCTTGCTATTTTCAAAATTCACACAAGCACATCATCAGCAGCTCCTATTATGAGAAAAACTTAAATACATACATTCGTGACGGTCTTCAGCGACAGTGTCGTATGACAGAGCCTGTCATACGATATTTTAGTTTGGTACTGTACTATGATAGCTTGCTTTGCAAGTGTCGGAGGCAAAGGCAGTCAATTATCACAGAAAATGTGTCGACTACCGTGACCGCTTACAAGACTGTTCGGGACATTCGGAATCAACCCAGGCGCTTGCGAGACACAAGGAGTTACAATCGGATTCGAATAACTTGGGATGCCTGACACAGGTGGACGAGGGACTGAACCAGACCCAATGGGTATTGCATTGGGAGCGGGATGGACGCGTGTATTTCCGAAATCTGCGGGCGGCATTTGAGACGAAGGGAATGGAAACTAAGGGTCGTTTGAACATACCTTCGCACGCCGGAATACTTCCCAACATGTTCGGAAGAGCAGCACTTTTTCAAATCGCTGGGGACTGCCGGAACTGTTGATGATTCGTCGAACATTGATAAACTTCTGTTGGTAGCACGTTGGCTTCGATAACTTTTCACGCTAATATTCTCACCTTAATTCTATGCATTCTGTAGAAGATCATTGTACTTCCTTCTGATGAAATCTAACTCCCGCTACTGCATGGCAGTTTTGGTAGCGTTCGGATGTAAAGCAAAAATCATTAATCTCAATCCCATCACAGTAACGGCGCCGGTGGTGTAGTGGTAAGCGTGATTACCTCTCACCCCAGCAGGCCTGGGTTCAATACCAGTCTTCGCCGCCGGGATGTTCTGAGGCATAACATCTCTGATCACGCCTTCTTTCGGATGGGAAGTAAAGCCGTTGGTCCCCGGTTCATGAGTTGATGGGTCGATAGGTAGGGTCCAGGTGTGGGGCATGAAGTAGTTCGCCTCCTCGTGGTGTGCCCTGGAAACGTTAATTATCGAACCCAAGGGAGAGATATTGCGGCTAAACGAACTACCGCAGAGAAGCCCTGCACAAACCCTCGTTGTGCAAAGGCAGGAGTGACGCCGGGTTCTTAGTGCTTAGCACAAGCAGCTGGTAAGCGGTCACATCTGTCCTAAGCTACCCTGTTGGACAGTTGGCTGGCTATCACGTCTGCTTAGAACCGAGGCGAACAACGAACAGCGAACAACAAGAGGAGGTTGAGAAGCCCTGCACAAAACCCTCGTTGTGCAAAGGCAGGAGTGACGCCGGGTTCTTAGAGTGCTTAGCACACGCAGCTGGTAAGCGGTCACATCTGTCCTGTACGGGCCCTGAACAGTTGGCTGGCTATCACGTCTGCTCTAGAACTCAGGCGAACAACGAACAGCGAGCAACAAGAGGAAGGCCCTGCACAGCTGCTCACTGTGCAGTAGCGAGTGTCACGTCGGACACAACACCTAGTGATGCGCCATAGCGCAACCGGCCCCCTCCCATGACGTAATGCTTTCGGGCGGTTCCGGGGAGGGCAAGGGCCTAGAGCACAGGGTAAGGTTTAGTGGGTCGGGAGAGCTACTTCTCCCATCCCCACACCCTTAGTTATCTTCTCAGGTGTCTGGGAGCAGATTCCCCCCTGTATAAAAAAAAAAAAAAAAAAAAAAAAAAAAGGTGTGGGAGCTGCCTTCCTGGCACGTCGGTAGCATTGGTGCTCAGCACGGAAAACAAGATCGACGGAAAAAACACAACCAAAGGAAAAAAAATCCCATCACAGTTTAGCGAGATTTGCAGTTGGTGAGTTTTGTTAGCTTGATATTCCGAGCAGCGACATCACAGCTTGCAATATCAACTACAGTTGTCTGCTTGTTGATTTTTGCTTCGAAAATCAAGCGTGATCTGGTTCTTTGGTGAGATTTGATTTTTTTGTATATTTTGCCTACGATAATTTGTTTTTATACTGTTGTTTAAATAACACCAATCAAATGTTGATACATCTAAAAAAAAATCTTCAGGTCAAGATCACAAATAACTTTTTTGGTTGTGGAGCAATCTCTATTCAAAGATATAATTTTCAAAAATCTAAAAAGCAGGGTTGAAGCCCAGAGGGAAGCTTTAGAGCAAAATACAAAAAGGCGTGTTTTTTTAATATTAAAATAAGCACAAAAATTTAGTTGAAATCGATGACATTGAGCACAGCTCTTGAGCTGTGCGAGCTGGAACCCATATGTTGCATAACATCATTCTTCTGGTTCGATTGTTCTGGCTCACACTGTACGATTTTTTTGATTAGGTATGTGATGAACAGGACGTTCTTATCTTCGCGCATCAGTTACGTTATTGATGAGCATTCACCCTGATCTTGTTGTAACGTTCCTCCAGGTGATGTAAAACGGTGATAATGGATTTGAAGAGCAGATTGTGTTATACCGAGAAATATGTGTTCAGTCAAGTAGGATTTGAAGACTGTTTAATTTATAAAGGCTAAAATCAGGATTGGAATTATATTTTTTCAAATTTCAGAGTTCAATTTGCCACTACACACTACGAACATTTCATGTAATTTCGTGAATTTAAGTTCATTCAGTAAAAAAAAAAATTCAATCGTTGCGGGGAACTTGGCAATCGCAACAATTCTTTATATTCTCCATAAAAATTAACCTTTTCCCATTTTTAGACGCAATCCACCATGAACACACCATGAATCGACGAACGCACTCGAATGAGTTGATTTGTTTCTGTTTGTCTTTTATTATAACTGACAACCGACAGAGCGATTGACCATAACTGAATGGGAATGGACACAAAGAGTGTATATCAAAGCTCTTTTTTTTTGCTTGTTCTTGTGGTTTACATATTTCTGCCCGACTGCATCGTTTGGCAAATTGGTTAAACTAGCGAAAAGTTCTTTAGAACAAGGGAAATGTCCCATTCGCGAAATCTTTTCAGTAACTGCTGATCGGTATAGTGACTAGAAACTAAAGTCGTTACAGTCTAGGTATTAGGAACGACTCCGATAAAAGGTTCAACCGCATACAGTGAGTCGTTAATCTATTCCGAGTAGCTTTGTTACAACCACCACTCTGAGTGGGTCTCCAATAAAATTGAGTGCATGTGGAAACTTCAATTTTCCGATATCGAATCCTCGCGAATAGACAAAAGCTATTCACAGACACAGAAGCTGCGAATCTAAAACACAAAGTGTTGTCCCTATCAAGGTATTAAGGTGAGTATAGCTAGGTGTTTGATTTTCCCCAATGAGTTTGTATAGAATTTACTCTATGACCGCATTTCCTCCACCCCCCCCCCCCCCCCCTCCGCGATCTCCTCGCCCATATACTGTCAAAGCTGCAGCACCATCCTATACTCACCATGGTCCCTATAAATGGGATGATTGAATTTTGACGTTTTTGCTTCTGGCAGCAATTTTCACTCACTCACACGCTGTGAATCATTTCAAACAATCCAACATAGGGCAGGCGGAGCGGCGGTCGTTATCATCCGAGTGCCATCCACTGACTGACTGAGTGACTTGGCTGATCGGGTGGGCGGAAAACTGGAGCATGCCATTAAGTGCATACGAGCGTCTTTCAATTATCGGTGACGATGCTTTGTCGGCGGTCCGCAATCCAATCTTAACAAATGGGTTACAAATGGAAAACTAAACTAGAGACTCACCTCTCCGCAGGACAGGAAATGGTTCGGACCGGACCGTTTCTGCCGGGGCTGGTGGTGTACCGAAAACAGGACACCGATGATGAAATCACCGGGGACGTGTGCCGAGGCTCGCTTCGATGTGTCTGCAGCCCGTGCTGGTTGGTGGGCCGTAGCCACCATGGGTTTGTCGGTGGTCACCAGTAGAAGTATTTCCAAAAGGGGCAGCACACCAAACACTGCCGGCAATGGCGGGTGCATTCTTCCTGGCTTGCTCCAATTTTGATTTTTGCCACTTAGCGTTGTCCGGTTTGCTCCGAATGGCGATCACTCGATATTGGCTGAACAGCTTGGAGAGGTTGATCGAATCTGCATATTTTGTGCACTAAATTTTGGCTGTTAGATATGTAGTTTTTTTTTAAATAATAATTAATGACATCATTGGCTCAGTATTCAAATGAAATGCATGTAACCACAGGCGGAGCCAGCTTTCCGAGAAAGGGGGGCACCTTTAAAATAATGATAGTATTGGAGGACTCAGCTCTCCGAAGAAGATGGCACGCTTTAAATCATAGTGTTTGTCATAATTTGAAGTGTTAACTGACTAAAAAAAATGTTTTCCATTATTGTCTTGGACACATTGACTGCTAGCACCAATTTTAGAAAATCGATTTTATGTGTTTCAAATGTGTATAGGGGAAAAGTTGGCTTCGGCAATACCTTAACCTATTATCGTCAGGGGGGTAAACAACGTCCTTGAGAGCTCAATTTTGGCATGAGGATACATTGTGTTTCAGAGCAACTATTGGCCAAATTTGAGTGCTCTAGGACTTTGTTTACCCCCTGACGATAATAGGTTAAGGTATTGCCGAAGCCAACTTTTCCCCTATTTGAATATTCAAATTAAAAAAAAAAAAAACTTTATTCCAAGGCAGAAGTTCTGTGTTTTGTGCATATACATCACACAAAAATATAAACCGACATGATTGAATATAAAAATATCGAAACAGACTGAAAAATCAGGGGCCACATTATAGAACCAAGTCGAATTGACTTTTTAACACAAGCGTTCGTAGAAAAAGCTCTTCCTTTCGACTTTCTCAAAGAGGCCCCAGTTTAAAAAAAATAATTGATGTTTTTAAATTACTCGGAAACAGTAGGCTGTGAAATTTTGTAAGTGACAGTTATTGGCGAATCATAGCTAAGCCAAAACTTATCATTCGACACCTATTTTTCAGATGCGCAATTACAAAAATGATGATGTACTAAAAAAAAACGCATGCTTTTTTTTTTGTTTATTTATTTATTTGATAAGGCTCAACCGAATTAACTTTACTGAGTCGAGGATTCTTGTGTTCACTATACAATACATCTTAAAACTAAAGTCAAAAGGTACAAGACAATTAACATTTTATCTTCTGCTATTCAATAAGCCTCCTCCACCAGAACAGGAGCCGCTTCCAGTGGTTTCATTGTATGGCAGATTCGCCAACGGGGGTCAAAGCGCTTCCAATGCAGTAATGGACGCAAAACGTGCACGAAACGAAAACCAATTATTTTATTCATGTGTTTCACTTATACACTTTTGCCAAAACATCAGCCTTATACAGAAACAACCACATATGTTCTATAAGAATGCATAAAAAGTATGTGTGACCGCTTATACATTTCATTTGACACATTATCTTCATTAACTTTTTGCAAGGCGTCTGCTTATAAGTTGACTTGTACATTTTATGAATAATCAGAAATAGAAATTTACCAAAAGGTATAAGGAGATTTCTTTCCGTGTGGTCAGCACGCACACATTCATCACGAAATGGTTGCTTTCCAAAGTCGACGACGCATCGACTGAAAGAACTGCTGATGAAGAACAATGAGGAGGACCATACAATGGTTGCTGCCGAGTAAACAGACGATCGCGTGACACACATTGAGAGTGGTCTGCTTCTGTCGACAGCCGAGTGAACACTGGGCATGCAATTTGACAGATATCAAAACGTCATTACCATTTTCACCCACTCGCCATCTGTGAGTCAATCGTCACTTTGATTCTTCGATTAGATATCTTCATTTCCATTGCACCAGGTGTCGTTTGTTGCAACTAAGGGCTGAACACAATGACAGCGGCATAGCGGTACAGCGGCTTAAATTGCGCTAACCGCTGTACCGCTGCCGCTTTGCAGCATTCCTACCCACAATCACAGAACAGAAGGGGAAGTGCAAACAAATCGGTGAATCAAAAGGTGCTTCGTTTGTCTGCTCAACAAGCGATGTATTGTGGTAGCGTTCCACACGGGCTTTCTATGTGCACTCACACTATCATAGGTTGCTGCCTATCTTAACTGCAGGCAGAAGATGCCTTCTACCGCTAGATGCGCTAGTGTTTGCAAAAAACAAGTGGAGCCACTTTCCGATCCGTAGTTCCACTCCTGTGCCACAATGCATGCGGGTAACACCTACCGTGGAGGCACCCTATTCGAAGCGGTTCCTAAATCGACGAACTCAATAATGTTTGACTATTTTCAATAATTATTTTTGAAATGTTACTTCTGCAATGAGCACTCATAAATGTCTTGCAATGAGCACTCATACATAGGATCTCCAGTGAAAACTAGATGTATGAGTGCTCATTGCAATACAGCGTATATCACGTGATATACGTTGTAATGTGAACGGGGTATTATTCTGAATATCACTTCCTTATCACCCGTAATAAGGCCCAAAATGCAGAAATATTAAACACTTCTATATTATCAGATAAATCAGCGCAGCGCTCCGGTTAACCTGAATCATGGTGGGTCATTTCGCAATAATAAAACAAAAGAACACTTGAGTCTACCAGCCGTGAAAGAAGATGACAACACCTAACCGGCGAATCAATTCCGCTCCCAGTAAACAACTCTTCAGTCTTCAAGTATTCAACCCTAACCCCGAAAAAAACATCACGTCATCAGCTTACTACAGTCAACATTCGCTCGTTGGGCTAAACTAGAGTCGGTGTATAATGAGTCACGCCAAGAGTGAAGCCAAGTCTACCTATTGAACTGTCAAACCGGCTACCTATCGTGCAAAGTAAATAAACATTACGATGCTATGAAAGGTCCACGAAAGGTATTGCAATAAAATATAAAATATAATCGAAGAAATGAGCATATACACGCAGTGAGCGCTAAAGTGTCATGGGATACGCTCGGTTATGATTAGTAATGAGAATTTCTACTATTTTTTGTTAAGATGATTTGACAAAATCACTGATATAATGATTTACTACAGCCGCAATATTTTTTCTCTCGCTAGAAGTCATTTGAAGTTGTTGTAGAAGTCCTCTGTTGCCAAGTGAAAAGAATGGGAATCTTCCGAAAACCGTGATGCGAGTTCAACTGTTTTTCTCTTGGCGTGACTCATTATACACCGACTCTAGGCTAAACCTATAGCCCACTTTGTGGAAGGCTCTCGTTAGTTGGGCTGAGCTGTCAAAGCTGAAAAGCTTCGAATTAGGTGACTAACAACCCAACTAACGGGAGCCCAAGTGAAATTCGACTGTATCTCATTCCAGAAAATTCAACCGCTAACCCATCTCGAAACGACCCTCCCAACAACCTTCTCGCCTCAGCTTAAATATGTAGCAACGGGCCAGGCCTACTGCTATTGACTGTCGCCAGAAAAACAAAAATAAGTTTTCGATTCGTTTCGGCAAATTGAATGGGAAAAAAAGATTGCTAAATAGCCCCCTTCTGGAGTCCGAAAAGTTTGCATTCAAGTTTTGAACCATCCTCAAGGAGGCTTCCACTAGCACGGTTGGATCGCATTCAAAAAAGTGAAAAATTAATTTACTATGCATATAGGTATAGTATAGAGGATGTATTTCCTTCAACACTCCGCTCCGGTACGGCGAGCAGGTCCTTCGGTTGATGATGGCCAAGTGGGGGAAAGTTCCCCAAAAGTTCTAGTATTTGTGCTCTTCTATTCTGTCAAACTCTTTCCCGGCGGAATGCTTTTTGCAGTGCCATCCAGCCGGGATGAGATGGTCATCATCGCGTTCTTTGTCTGGCGGTATTAAAGTGCTAATTACTCTGATTTACACAGCGCTTATCGCACGCTTCGCGCTTTTTTGTCGGCGGACTAGACGGTGTGTTGAGTGGGGAGCACTTATAGAAAAATTGTAAGACGAGCAGTTCCAACACCAACGAACCGACATACTACTGGAGCATTTCGTTTGCCCACAATTCGATTTGTCAAACAGGCGATCAGATCTGTCAAACGGGGCGAGACGCAAACCAAGTCAATGTAAATTTTACGTGTGTTTGAAATTGAATGAAGCGGTTCGCCGGTGGAAAAAATCAACTAATTTAAGATTTTACCGCTAAGAATTCGCTAGGGGCAATGAACCAAGTTTGTGTTGGAATTCAGCCATTTTGACAATCGCATAATTTTTCAAAATGGTGTATTCGATATTCTTCAATAAATGCTAGCACGAAAACGGCTTATCTAATCGAAATGACATCTGAGACGAAGTTGTAGGACACTGAATCGCCTTTTCAGAAAAAAAAATCACATCGCAAAAAAATTATAAATTTTCGTAAAAATCCTTAGAACGTGGGAAAGGCCTGCATACGATATGTACGAAAATCCACATTACTTGTAGTGCTACGAAACAAGACTTAATAGACTATGCAATTTCACTCAAAAATGACGAGCAATTTCACCCAAAAAATGTGGGATAACTTCATTCGGTCTTGGTGAGTAACTGTGAGATATTTTAAATGCATTTAGGTAAAGTCCGCATAATTTATAGCCAAATTCAAAGGGCTTGCAAGGCGGCTACACAAATGTTCAACCTTACGGGATATTTTTCTATATTCTGGGACTTGCGCAAGTTTTGAATTCATCAAATTTTAAAGTTTTCTGGATTAAGACATATTTCCAGACCATAGTAGTTCATCCTGCAGCTCTCTGATTATCGACCTTGTTACTATCGACTGAATCAATTTGCATTCCCATAATTATATGCCGTTGTCTCGCCTCACTACGCAAACATTGAAACCTTGGCAGATGTTATAAAGCATCCAAATGGATCGACGTGCATAGTTGTAATTCAATCTGTGTAAACATTTAGTTTACTGTCGCCAAGCCGCTTGGCATTGAATTTTGAAGCGACATGTGCGACAACAAATCATGAAGGATAATTTATTGGACGGATTGTGCATTTTTGTGGAGAAGGCTTCGTGTCTACGAGTTCAGGTTATTTGCTCTTTTTGGCGTTTCTTTTTGTACAGAAAATTTATGAAAATGAACTCTCCGCAGAATCGCTTCATTTCGTTTCAATATCATTTTCGTGTGAGTCGTCGTGTTTCTTGTTATCGTTCGTCAAGTGCTTCAGTTCATT